GTGCCTCCATAAAACATACAAACAGTTTTCTTTTTCATCAAAAATCCCCCACTTACCTAAGAGAACAAAACCACCACACTCCAACTTGCAAAGACTATACAGTTGCACGGCCAGCCAAGCACGGATCCAAATCTTTAGATTACAGGAAGGAGAGCCGGAATGTTATAATCAGAGGCCTCAAAATAAGAACAAAGTTACCCTCCTAATCTAGAGGGGCTGCAGTTGTGAACTGGAGTAAATTAGGCTCAACCCTCAGTTAGGTGTGCTGCATTAACTGCATACCTGAGCCACCACTAGGAATGACGAGAAAGCCAGGGTTATCTCCCCACTGGAATAAGAAAATAAATAGATCAAGAAGGCGACACTTCTGTAACAGGTATTATTAGGGTTAGTTCAGTTCTGGAAATGAGGTATTGGGGTTTGATTGCTTCTCTCAGCTGATCGCTGCCCGGTGCCGTGTCCAGGCTCCCCCTGGAAAGGAGCGCTGCGAGCCCTGCCTAGTGCTTAACAAGCCCTCACCAAGGCAAATGAGCAGCGAACAGGGCAGTTGGCACCAGCTTTGCCACAGCAGCAAAAAGAAATATCTCTTCTCATCCACCTAACCTTTTGGAGTTCCCCTCCTCCAACCCTGGTAGGCAGAGGTGTTGCTTTGAGCAGCACAAGTGTGTTCAGCAAAAATAATGGGGATGTCAAGAAGAAGAAAACAATATATGAAAATATTAAAGACACATTTTAGTAATGGATTAAAATAACTATCACTTCAGTTTTCTCTTCCTACAGTGGGTTCCCTTTAGCCAAGCCTTATGTAGCACACAGTCTCATTTATGTTTTATCTCTGCAGCACATTATTTTTCCTACCTAAAATTGTCAGTAAACTGTCTACCATCCAATTAAAAATTACAACTGTCTCCTCTCAGAATTATACTCAAATCTAGATATTTCATTTTGCTAGGAGTTGCACCTCTTGCAAGGTATTGCTCACATCTCAAAGTGTGCAGCTCTCCTGCTATCAGATCTTTTGGGCTGAAGTGCCTTCCTTCCCTTAAAACTTTGTTCAAGGGTCTGGGAGATGTTGATAAAACGAGCTGCCTCTCCTAAATGATGTCAAACCATGCAGAATCTCTGTCCCTGAAGTTCCACTCAGGCTCTCTCCTCCTGAAAGGCAAACTTGGTTGCTTTCAAAAGCCCTTCTCCATTGCACAGCTCTGCCAGATGATCCCTGAATCCTCATTTCCTCCGAGAGCAGAGGCAGCTACAGCAGATAGAGGTGAGGCTGACCAGCCAATTCCCTTGCTGCTTCCATGCAGCTGCACATAAAATGCTTTATTGTTAAAAATACTACAGTTTTACTTCTAGGCAATATCCGAGGAAGGTAATACTGGTCTTAATGCTAACAGGAACTACAGCTGAAATAGTGTATTCGAATCCCGAAGGAGGAGAGGATTTCTCAGGTACCCTTATCTGTTAATCACAGTCCTAATTAGTGGCTTTTAGCACCTCCTACTGCACTGCTCCCTGTCCGAGAGAGGCCTTTGGGAGTAAGAAATCCACAGCTGGAAGGGGATACTGGAGCAGTCATTCCTTCCACTAGCTCAATTGAATTGCACAGAAGAAGAAGTTAAAATAAATGCAGTCTGACACTTTCCTTCAGCTTTACCATGCTGTGGGATTTATCTGCATGTCACAGGGGGTATGCTTTAGAGACGTCCTAGCAGTGTGCTTCCACTACCAGTTATACTGTCCAAGAACTGCAGTAATATACTGATCACAGGGTATTTTTTTATGCTCAGATGTGACTGTTTTAAAACTTGATACCATCAACAAAGAATAAAGCAGGCTTCTGGCTCTACCATCCCCCAGGCTCCACTCCCAAAAGCAGTAACTTTTGGAAAAGGTGATGAAATAAATTTCTCTTGCCCCAGAAGAGCCTTGTATCTACCCTGATTACCAACCCCAACAGCAACAGTTCAAGAACATTCAGAGTTGTGCAGTGTCACCCATAGCCCCAGCAGAGGTGAGTTTGCATGTGCAACACCCATAGATTGTCTCTCTTTTACTGACAACCCTTCCCCCAAGTGACAGAACAATAATTTAAAATAACATAACTCTCAATAAACAAAATTACTGAAGAAAGTAAAAAAAAAATTCCCATTGTTCAGAAAGAACTGATAATAACAAGAGAAGCTATTAAGCACAAATTTTCCTACTAGACTATATGTGACTCAATCTAAAGGAATATTTCACCTTGAATAAATTTTTCTTTTAGGTAAAGTAGTCTAAAATCTGTGCAAGCCTAGAGAAAGAGAAAAAAACCCCACAACAGAACACCTAGCATATTGAAAGTTTTTGAAATTATATCCCTGACAGAGCTGTGAAAGGAAACAGTCATAAATGTAGCCAGTCTTGTCTTTCTGTTAACAATGGTGGAACATATCTTCGTGCTTACTAGTAATAATGTTTTTCTCATTTGTACTCATTTAGGGTCAGAGTGACATATCTCTACTCAATATTACATTGGCATTATTCTTAAAAGCAGTAGCGTGAGAGTCAAGGAGTCATTTTTATCAGCCTGGTAGCAGGTTTTAATTTCCGAAGTCCAAAATGTCTTGTGAACCTATAGTATTGGAGGGATAATTCTGAGTTCATTCACCAGCTTGACACATTCCAGAGGCAGAATTTGGGTAAATTCCTCAGCTGACAGATGTACAATGAAACACATGAAGTGTCATGGGTTTACAACAAAGGAGAGTTTGATCCAGACAGTTACATGACCTGCCTACAGAAATAAACTCAGTCATCAGAGGAGATGATACAGATCTCAGCAGATCCCTGGCTCAGCTCACTTTGTCCACAGTGAGGTTTTTTGAGATGCTGGCCAAGGTTTGGGTTGAGCAGACACATTTTTCTCCCCTGTGTAGCCGTTGTTACATTCCTCATTGTCCCCGCTGAGACAGGGCTGTGCAGCCCTAAATGGCACAATTTCATAATTCTGTTTGCAAAGTTGCTTCCACCTTTAGTCAAAAGTATCCATATTTGGCAATGTTCTAGATCAGCAAGTAGCTGAAATGCTAAAAGCCAGAGTCTAGAGCTTGATACAATCCAGAAGACTAATATGCAGGACAAAACAGAAGGGATTGAACTGGCTACACTCCCGTCGTGGTGTCCCATGGCCCTGCTCTGTTCACAGTGACAGTTCACCCAGAGATGTGTTTATCACCACGGCAGGATTTCACAGGAAACAGAGGCTGCTGGTTAACAGGCTGGGCTCTGGGATTTGTATTTCACAGGCAGTGTAAAAAACACTCTGAGAATCAAACAGAACATTTTCCAAAATGCCCCATTAAAAGAAGAATTGGAGGGGCTAATGGATACTTTTCAAATATTTACAACTAGAAAAGAGTTTGAAATTTTATTATTAGAGGAAATTTTATTATTAGATGAAACTTCTGTTGTAGATTTGTACTTTGTGTTGTTCCTGACATATATGACCTAATAATACTTCTAATTTTTATTGTTTCAATATTTTTATTGTTACTATAAAACACAGAAATATATTCAGATTTAATATTTTATTTTTTAAAAATCAATAGTGATAGCTGCTTTTTCATCCTAGTTGAACTTTTCTGCATCACAATACCTCCTGTTGTAATGAAGCAGTCTGGAATTTCGAACAAGTAAGGATGATAAAGACCTAGTATGCTAATTAGAGGAGCAGATGTTTTCAATAAATTTGTGTTAGCCTGAAATTATTTTTTGACAGATACGAGTGTGCACTTTGCTGTTTGGCCAATCAATAAGAGTTTGATTTCAGCAGGAGTTTTTCCCCTCCAGATTTACTTTATTTCATTTTTTTTCTTTTAAAGTCAAAGAGAGTATTTTTTTCCCTAGATAAAAACAGGCTGGTCTACTGCTTCCTGTTATAAACTCTTCTACCTAGCAATTTAGTACCACACATACATCCCTCACCTGAATTATTGGAAGATTTAAAAAAAGTTGTACTAATTTTCAAGTATAAAATAAAGACAAAATTTTTTTTCCTAGTTAAAAATAAACCAATTGCTGTAATAATGTGACACTCAACTATCACTGTCATCTAGAAAAAAAGCTTGAAAAATAGCAGGCCAAGACTTGGGTTACTAAAATCTGAGATGCTTTTAATGAAGCTCCAAGCTTTTGTAATTATGTTTTGTTTGTTTCTTTGGTAGAAATTTGCCTGGATGAAGAGAGAGGAGGAAGAACCACCTGGATGCTTCCTGCTGGTGTGGAGAAAACCAGGCTCTGCTGCTCAGAAGATAAAAGGTAAATCAGGGCCACAGAGAAGGCAGAAGGCATAGAAGAGGAACTTATTCCTGGAAAAGATCCTGCTCCTGGTGATTGGATGGGATGAGTGAAGCACTGATTGCTCCAGTCCTTATTGCCCCATGACTTCAGAAGCTGTCACTCTGGCTTAAAAGATTTTCACAGGGCATTCACAATGATGGCAAAGCATCATCAGGAGGATTCCTTAATTGCTGCTCTGAGGAGTCTGCTGCCAGAGGGAGCTTGGTGGTTTGCAGCTCCAGGCAGCCCTCAGAGGAAGCCTGGTTCCAGCCTTGGGTAGGCAAAACTGGGCATCAGTTATTTGTCACAACATACCATAACAATCCAACAAAACACTTTGAGGGGTCTGGTCCTTTCTTTCCTACCTGGCCGTTTGGACCAGGGGCCTAATTTTCAGAACCCACTGATATTGTGATTTTTGTGGAAGTCACTAGGAACACTCTAAACTTCAAAACATCAGACATCCCTCAGAGTTCCAAGAAATCATCTCTTAATCCAAAACCATGGAAACTTGCTGCAGCTGCTGCTCAGTGTTGAAGGAGTCACGAGGGGCTTTCTAACTCAGGGCTCCTTCAGCTCTGCCCCTGGCCAGTGAATGGGAGCTTGGTTCACTGCACCCCTCACCATCCCATGTTAGAAAATCAAACATCCCCTATCCAAGGAGATTTTCTTACCTGGCCTGTGCCAGGTTACTCTGGAGATAAGAATGGAATAGCTGTACTGACTTCTCTTGCTAACCCTGGGTCATGAGAACTGAAGACAAGAGGTGAGGACCACCAATATTTCATTTAAGAAGCCTTTGCTTTTAAGAGCCTTCTGCTCTGTAGCCTTTGCCTTCTTAGTCTTGTGTAGCTGTCAAGCTGCTGCAAGGTAAAATTTTGCATATAAATCAATGCTGCAGGGTGATTTTCCCAGAATAATTATGGCTTGTATCCAAATCCCATTTACCTCCTCCCCAAAGAGACAAGAACAAAAGACAGTATTTGGATATGGGGGGGGGGAAATAAAGATAATAATTTCAGGATTTAAATAAATGAAGATCTGCTGATAATAGGATTTGCAAAGTAAATTAACCTGCATGCAACCTCCACACCACCAGAACTGTGCTGCTACCAGTCCCTGATAACGCCACCCCAGAGGAATCCCCCGGTAATGGAGTCACTGTTGTTTGCTTCAGGTAATGCTCCATGGAGTCAAAATTTACCAGTTGCTCTGAGCAACTGGGTGTAGAGAGATCACTTCTCTGTCCTAATTTGATGATGTGAATTTCTTAAAGAGGAAAATTAGTTCTTACATTTTGTTGTTATTTTTATTGCCAATTTTCCTAATGAATTACAAAGATCAAGAACTATGCTGAAAGCCAAGTCTCACAGAGTAAGGGAGAGAAAAAAAACCCAGCTCAGTAAAATCTGATTTTCCTCATCATTGGCTCTTTCATATCCCAATAATCCATTTTTGGGACAGATTCTAATCTCAGGCACAGTGTGGGCATCCCAGCATACCTAAGAAAAATCTGTTCCTGTGCATCATGCGTGATATTGGAATCTGGCCCTTCCACTGGAGATGGAACATTTGCATAAAGTTCTTATGACTTTTTATAATAGCCATATTTTCTAATATTTGCAACTGTGCACATTTTAGCCTGGATTGCCTTTCATTCCACAGATGGCGCTTATGAAAAGCCCTCACATTTGGCAACTACAAAAATAAATTTGTCTGAGGCTGCAAATGTACAAATTCACCACAGAGCCTTCTGAACACAGTCCCTTTTCTGAGAACTTGGGTCTTGCCTTCGTCCCTCCTTCCCGTAGTGAAGTCAACTGGCAATGTCAGAAAGCAAGTCAAACCCAAGAGCTGCCAATTACTGTGCTTTTACCGTGATTTATTTCTCAAGTTTAAGAGTGAATGAACTTTCTGAAGGTATTCAGGAAACCCTCTAGGCATACACTGAACTTTATATACAGAATTAGCCCCAGGGAGATCAGTCACATCTCTAATTACTTGGATGGATCATCACCATTTTGTTCAGATTTTTCCCCCCCAGTCAAGTCTGTACATGAGCATGAGGCATAATACAGTCTGAAGGCAGTGGACATTTTGACCCCAGGCCTTCAGCTGCTGTTCCATGGATGCTGATGAAGAAGGCCAGTTTTGCCTGTCCCTGCTTACCCTGTGCACCCCAGCAGGGCACGGGGGGCCCTGGCAGGAGGGGCTGGTGGGCAAACACACACTGAGTATCTCAGGATGATGGGTACTCCTCATCAGTGTATTTCCTTAAATGTCTTTAAAACAATTTTTAAGAGCACAGTTAATTTTTAGTTCAGAAAGACATATTCTGTTGTTTGCCAATTTATTCTCTCAAAATATGCCAGTTACCTCCATTTCAGTCTCAAACACCAATCACTTTGTTTTCCAAGGGCTGCTCAATCTAATCCCAGTACATGTTATTTTTTATTAAATCTAGATAGAAAGCACTCATTCCTTCTTACTTTTTTAAATTATCCATAATTCCTTAGTCACAGTGTCTCTCTAATGCAGACCTCCAGTTTAACATCAGCTTGTTCATAGCTGCAGAGGCTCTAGAAATATGCTATGGCCTTTCTTCCTTTCCATGCATCCAAGATTGATGCAACTTTCTGCATTATTTTATGGTCATACAATTTGGAAATGTTAAGTGCTAGATAAATGTATATTATTATTTTGCCTCACTGTGAAATTCACAGCACTTTCATTTTGATTTTTCACCTGCTATTGACTAAACTGTCATCCTATACTGGCCTTAAGATTTACACTTCTCTTTGCATAATAGTTTTCAGAGCTTCAGATCCAGCTTCATAACATCTTTGATTTTTAGTAGGAATCCAGCTGCAGGTTTTAGGGTGCTTGCTGGTGTTTTTAATAATATAGTAATTACTTTTTTCATTTGCTGCATTTTCCTCCCAATTTTCTCTGAGAGGCAAAATACAAATCATTCCAACAAGGGCATTAATATTCTGGTGTGTTTTCCTGACTTATCTTTCAAGTCTGTTGTCTAACTACAGACTATTTATTTGAGAAAAATATAGAGATGAAAGGCTGAGTCCCAAACCCGCACTGGTGTAAATCTGCACAACTCACTTGGAAGCGGGACATTCTGCTGATCTCAATTAAATCTGCAGCAGGGGATGATTTGGCCTAAACAAGTTAACCCTTCTGCTTGCCTTCAGTACACACCTATATAAAGAGAAAAGAAGCAAAACTCTTCTCTAGTTTTTCAGTAGATACCTGAATGCTCCCAATAACTGCCAGCAAATTGCAACGATCTCTTATGTTTCTGCTACTACTGCAGTGACTCCTGACTTTAGGAATGCCTCGTTTGCCTTCATCCAGCCATGGAAAAGGCCCTCAACACTGACCTTTTGTACTGCAGTATTTCTGTCCTGCTAACTCAACATCCCTTTGCACCTTCACATCACCTCCAGCCTCGCTTGAGGCTCATTCCCCTTTTTCCAACAGCTGTTCTCATCAAGGACAGTAAAAGACTTCCAATCTCCAACAAAACTAACTTGTCTCAGTAAATCAGGACACAGTATTTGGTCTAATTTACATCCTGTGAAACCCTAGTGCCTTTAGTAAGTGGTACAGGATGTAAATCAATCCACAATGTAGCTCACAAACAAGTTTTTCACTACATGCCAATAAAGTCAGCTTTTCCCCATTAACTGCAACTCTTTCCCTCTGATATTATGTCTTTTCTTGAAGAATATTCTTCAGATGTTCAGTTCCTCTAGCTCCTTATTATTTTTCCTCTGAAAATACAGCTTTCTGTTCTTAACAACGATACTACAATTCACTGTTTCCCAACACCCTTCTCATCTTCTTTCCCCTTATCTCTACAATAATTTTCATGCTATTGAAAGTTTTATTTGCCATCCTGCCTTCTTGTGCTATTACACATCAGAGCCTTCTCAACAGCTGCTTTGATACACTGTACATCTAAACCACTTTGCTTGTTAAGGAAACAATAATTAAGGGCAGTTGTTTTGTTTTCAAGTACACAAAAATATCCCACATTATAAAAATTCAGCTGAGGGATTCATCTGGCTATATCCATCCACCTCACCTTAGCTTCCTTGAAACAAAATTATCCACATACAGTGGATGTTCCAAAAAAAATAGGCCTATCCTATAAACCAGACCCAAAATATGACCTTGTGATGGCAGTGCTTTAAGTACTGCACGAGTTAACCATAAGAGAGTGCTCAGTCAGAATGGCATTCCCTATATCCCTGAGGTTTTCCATGCATCCAGGCAGCAGTTCTCAGCTCACATACAGTGGGGAGAATTTAAATCAGGAGCCTTTGCAGCCATGTCTGTGCATGGTGGCAGCAGCCTAAAGCTGTACAGGAAGATGCATTTTGCAGCGTTACTGTGAACAGTGTTTTAAATCAGGCTGTAAACACTCACTGAGAGAGACCATATTTTACTCCAGTCCTAAGTAACAGGAAAGTAACAAGAGAGTTTTGACTGCACCTAGACTGGGTGAGTAGTGCACATAACACTGATAAATGTTGTTCCAACGTTCTGCTTTAAATAACCATCTTCCGAAAGAGTAAAGTTTTTCTGTCTAGATGAAAACTCTAATTTTTCTCTCCGGGCAGAAAACCAAATCAAATAGCAGTGAAGATTACAAGGCAGAAAAGAAGGGAAAAGTTAAAAAAAACAATAGTAGCATATCTACTTTTTCTAAAGTCTGGGGGAAAATTAAAAAATAAAAATCTTTCTAAACACATTCAGAGCATTGGAAGCCCAGAAAAATCAGATCCTGTTATAACCACAAGCCAACATCCACGTTTGTGTTCATCACTACCTGTGTATCAGACTGTGCTCTGGAGTATCCAGCTTTCCTCCCATGACTCCCCCCCCCAAAACAAAGAAACTCTTTCAGGACAAGTTCACAGTATTCCTGAAAACTACAAGTCCATTAGCCTGTTTCTCTGAGAGAAACATTTTCTTCAATATTCTGTATTTCATTCATCTATTTGTAATTAGGAGTGAGCTCACATTTACATTAAAGGAATTGAATGACTGATGAACGACAAAAATGCATTTCTTGTCAAGTGACCTATTGCAGTTGTGCCAGCAGTGCTGGTAGTGATGTGTTTGCACAACCTCCTCTGCTATGACATGAGGTAGGATGCTGTCTGAAGTCATTCACATCGTGGCTGTTCTCTTAGGATTCCTCAGTAAATTCGTATGGCTGCAATATCTTTTGGGAACGTATAAAATAAAGCTTCCTAAAAGGATCTTGTCATTGTACATTTATCAGCTGAAGTCGCCAGGACTATGCAGGGATATGGTACAATCCTAATTCTTCCATAAGGATGTGGGCTGTGTGTGCCCCTTGCTGCTCATTTCATCTACCAGTGAAATGAGAGCAGTATTACTGAAGAGCACAGTTTAAATAAGGTCAGGAGGTCAGCTTTCTCCAGGATGCTTTAGTGAAATGGACTGTAAAAAACTCCTGCTGTGTGTGAGAGCAAGAAGAAAGGGTATTATAATAGACACATTCAATACAAGGTAGAACCAGAATTTTAAACACAGGCTGATGATTTGATTTCTCCATTGGAATTCACCATAACTGCAACTTAACATGTGTAGCAGAACAATTGCTAGAGCTTTTTTCCTGTCCCGTAAAGAGTAAATAGGTTCTTAACAAGTCTCCCTCCAGAAGTCAAGAAGAGGAAAGTGTTTCTATAAACACAGCAGTCTCAGAACTGTGAGCAGCTGAGCAGTTCACATGGTGAGGGTGCCACCAACTCGAGTCCCAGCACCTCCACTTCTCTATTTTACAGTTCTGTGATGCTCTGTATGTGACATTTTA